AGCTCGTTGCCCGGGGCCAGGCCTAATCACTCTCCGATTTTCGATTCTCGCCCTGACCGCCTCATTTTGTTTAAGGACTGTTCACCGGACGGCGGTCTCAGGCTGAACACGAGCGGTAAATGAAGCGCATCACACATGCATGATGGTTTGCCCGAAAACAAAACAGCGGCGGGCACCTCAGAGCGCCTGTGAGGTGGGCCAACAAAACAGGATTGGCGATCTTGTCGACGACAAACTGGCGGTACACACGAAGACACGTGCACCCTCCTTCGTCGACAACCGGCCGGCAACTAAAACAGTGCAGCAGTGGCAGGCAAGTGGCAGGGCAGCGCCGAGCCGAGCGCCGCTTGATGTCAGGGAGGGGGTGGGAGCGGCGGCGAAGAGAGCGGGGCACCACTTCACCCCCTCACCCGCGTCGCGGCCGCTTCGGGCCGGAGCCGAAAGGATCCCGAAGGTGTGGACCGGACGGGCTGCCTACCTTCACGGCGCACTCCTCACCGCTCGCCCCAGCCGCCCCGAGGACGCCGCTGCAGGAAGACGGCGTGCCCGTCGTCGTCGTCGTGGAGGCCGTGCTGCAGCAAGCGTCTAGTGTGGCAGTCTGACAGCGGAGCTGTACTCGGCAGCGTGGCACACCGTCGGCGAGGACATCCCGGCCGTAGCCACGCCATAACGCAGCGCCCTTCCGTCGCTCAGCGTTGCCGACAAGGTGCACTTCTTCAGGGCGCTGACCCGCCGGCTGGAGGCCATGCGGAGGCGCATCCTGCACCCCATGCACGTGCAGCCCGGGTGCAGCTGGGTCATGCAGGGCACGCTGGGGTACTTCCGGAAGTGTCTTCCGTCCGGACGCGGGGTCTCCAAAATGTCAAAACGGCCGCTGGTCCCACGGCTGGGCCGCGGCGCGCTTCTCATGGCCCTGCAGACCGATTCTCTGTCCCTCTCGCACCCACACGGGACGCCCCATGAGTGCGAGAGAGACAGTCTGATCGTCGCTCTCTCTCGCTCCCACACGGAACGCAACGCGCCGCGATCCGATCCGAGCCCCGGAGGCGCTGCTGCAGGTGCATCATGGTCTACATGGGGTCGAGGAGGATCTCGGCAACGGATGCAGCTAGCAGGGCATGTAGGGGTATTTTGGGAATCGGTGCGACGAGAAAAAAACAATGGTGCCACTTTCGAACGAATCGGAGAAGTTCGGACCCGCGTTCAAATCCCAGTGGGGTATATTTTAAACTTTCTTTTCATTCGAGTTTTTGCATTGTTGCTTATGTTTTTGAGGGCGCTGATGACGAAAATAACATCTATTTTGACCCTAGACCCTGGTTTAAATTCGTCAGGGTTAAAAAAAGGCGAAATTCACACATTTGTTAATGTACGGGACGGGCCAAAGTTGCCGATGTATATCGCTACTTTTCCTGTTATTCTTTTCTTTTTTGGTTATTTTTGAAGGTTGTTCGAAGTTATTTATTAGAACTAGGTCAGCGGTTCCCAACCTTTTTCAGCCCGCGACCCCAAAATGGCTTCCAAAATTTTTCGCGACCCCAGGAACAAAATTACGCGACCCCATCTTTTTTCGGGGGGGGGGGGGTTTTCGAAAATTATCTGTCACATTTTGAATTTTGACCGAATTTTGAGGGTTCGAGTGCATTTAAAATAGAGGGCCAATATTTGTAATGAGACATTCTAATTTTCAAATGATAGCTTCCTTGCTGTTAATTTTGACACCCAAGCTTGGTACTCTTTTGTGCCGCCCGCGCGGTACCTTTCAAAAACATTGGCGCCTATACCACGCTTAACATTGGCGATTGCCTCCACTTGGGCCGCTTCAACATAAAGCATTTGAGGATTCGCGGAAGGAAATAAAATAGAACATGGTTGGCAACGAGCGATCCAGGCTCCAGGTATCGGTAGACTAAGGGGACGAGATAATCCCCACGAGCCTGTATTCTATGCGTCTGTTTCCGCTTGAAAGCGCCAAAAACACAAAACACCCGTCGGTTTTTCCGTATTTTCGCACTGGCGGTTTCCCCGCAGACCGACCCTCAGGAGCCAACTCGCGACCCCACGCGACCCCAGGTAGCATGCCGCGACCCCACAAAATTTTTCCGCGACCCCAAATGGGGTCGCGACCCCGGGGTTGGGAACCACTGAACTAGGTCCAAATCAAGTGAATTTTCAAAGTGGTCCAAATCAAGATCTTCTTTCAGAAATGGATTAGTCTCGTCAAGACAAACAAAAAATGTCAACACATCTCATAGGTTTGGACGGGAATGACAACGTTATTGAGCTTCAAAAGTACCAAGAAGGTCATTTCTTGACCATCTTTGCAAGTTTGTAGGTGAATAGCCTTTTTATGTTCCATCCAAACCTATGACATACGTTGACATTTTTTTGTCTTGTCGAGACAAATCCATTTCTGTAAGAAGATCTTGATTTGGACCAATTGGAAAATTCACTCAAACCGCTGAGAAATATTACAAGATTGGATTTCAAGGCGGCACTTGTAACGTCAAGTTGAAAAGATCTCGGGCTAAATCCATTTCCAAAGTTTTAGTAAATTTTCAAAATCGTCTAAACTGACTTTGATGTCATGAAATGACTGCCTCTTGACAAGTGTACTGTACAAATTAAGGTGATCGCCGTTCTTCCAGGCACAGTAAACGCTGTACCTCTAGGTACAGTAAACACCGTGCTTCTAAGTACGGCAAATCCTGTTAATAAATTAACGGAGAATACCCTACATTTTTCGTACAGTGTACCCCCTACACCCGACTCTGGGGGAATGCCGACAACCGTGCGTGGAGTATAGCCAACGCCATCAGGAGCTGTCAATACTCCCTGACAGGGGCATTTTTGACCTATTACGCGGTTATTACGATAATATTACGTGTATTACGTTATTATTACCGATATTACGCGACTATTTCGGTTATTACGCCGTCATTACGGATATTACGTTGTTATTACAGAGCAGGTGACCCGACTATTACGCGAGTTGCTACCCCCTCGGTGCTGGCGGTCCTGCGCCCCGCTCGGCCTCTGCTCGGGCTCGGGCTCGGCGGGGCTCTGCCGGCTCTGCCTCTGCCACTCGGCCTCTGCCTCTCGGCTTCCCGACAGCCTTCCTGGCCGAGGCGTGGTGCGCCTCAGTGCTGTGAGGACCGGGCCGCGCGAAGTACGCGAACCACCGGGCCGACGGCGTGCTTGGAGACGCGACGGAGGACGGACGAGGGGCCGGTCCAGGACGCGTGTGCGCGGCGTGCGGGGCGCGGACTTACAAACGTGACAAGGATCCAGGATTATGTGATACAGCAAGGCCGGCAAGGCAAGCCCTGACGGAGCTCGCAACGCGTTCCGCATCTCAGAGGTCCAGGGGAGCCCCAGCGCGGGCTCGCCGGCGTGGCCATGGACCTCCACCGACTTCTCAGGTAAGTTCGCGTTGACGCCCGCCCTCGGTGTGTTTGTCCCACTGGTGCGTTCAAGTTACCGGGCCGCGAGGCCGCGAGGCCGCGGGCGGCGCGCTGACCGTCCGGACCGTCCAGCCAGCCGACGGCCCGCTCTCCATGGCAGTGACCCTTCCGCCCTTCTCTCTCTCGGTGAATGATCGTTCGATGTGCCCTTGCCGCCTTGCCGCCGTGCCCTCATGGCGCTTCTTATGGCCGAGTCGACAACGGCCGGCCCGGCCCGGCCCGGCCCGGCCTGGCCCGGTCGTAACCAGTGCGTCCCATCCCGCGTCCCAGCCCTGCAGCCCGCCAGCCCACAAGAACGTTTACAGATATGGCTCCCTTGATTAATGAGGCCCGCCTCTTGCCTCTTCTTCTCCCGCCTGTCCGATTCCGATGCAGAACAGTTCTCTCCGTCTCTCTCGCACTCGAACGGAGCTGCCCACGAGTGCGAGAGGGAGGCAGGCAGCCCTGCCGGAACGCGTCCCGCTCGCAGAGCACGGCGGGGAAGGCCGCGGGGTGGGTCACGCTCTCGATGAACAGCTCCAGGGCGCGTCGGTGGCTGCAGCCTGCGGGGAGGCAGGCAAAGCAGGCCAAGTTCGTGAGGGTTCGCCTAGTTCGCCCGCACATTACGCAACGTCACTTCGTAACTCTGCCCTTGGCACTCCTCGTCGGCTTTCCTCGTTCGGAGAGGTATCCATTGGTGGGGTCACACGTTCGTTTAATGCCATCTTTGCAATGAAACTGACAAAAATGGTCCCACCCATGGAATAAATTTTTTTCGACGGGGATTCGAACCACGGCTAGGGCGATGGCACGCGTCGATTCCTCTCACTAAACTGAAACACTTTTGTCCTTACGAATTTTTTCTCTGACAAACAGGGCTTGAGCCAGGGGGCTGGAAATAATGCCCGTAATCCAACTTTGGGTTCTGTTTTTTAAGAAACCATCCAAGATATGGCAAAACACCATCAAGTAAAACTTGTTTTAAATCCGTTTTTCCGCAGAAAAGTTCTCACAATCTATTGTCTCGGATGCACAGGGAAAAACTTTTGCCCATGATTTGGAGGTCTCTCTCGCGAGGGGTATTGACGCGCCAGGATGCCCAGTTTTCGAATATAAACAATTAAATATATTTTGAAAATTCCACACAGAATTTGAATAAGGTGAGCATAGTCTCTCTCCTCTTTATTTTTGTGAGTTGTTTGTTTGATTGATATTTTTTAAAAAATTGATTTGATAAATGTATGCTGTGTATTCCAATATCTTTGCTTCCTCACAAGCAGAAGACAATATTCAATTGTGTACCATTTTTTGCTGCATTAGGCTCTTACTATTTCTTGCATGCAAATTGTCACCATACAAATAAATCAGATTTGGATAATGGGCCTTTGTCTTTACACTGAGACGCATGAAATCCAATGGGGAAGATGTTAGCCCTTAGCCTTGTGTGGGTAACACTAATCGATTTATCGACCCCATTTTGAAGGTGGTATATGATGTATGATGCACAGCCAGTTTGGAAAAATGTATTGCTTTATTCAATTCATTCATTCATTTATTTATGCTGGTGTCATAAGTCTCTATGAGATGAGAATGGATCGTCTTCCATTATTTCAATATTCGTTCTAATCTCAGTTGTTCAATGCAACCAGCTCTCGACTGCCTTATCCTTCGGAGATTGAAATCTACATCACCAATGCACATCAGTCGCATTCACTGTGGATATTTGTTAATTATCACAACATCAAGTTAAAATTTGGTTGACTGCCTTACTTGTTACATTAGAAGCAGATATTTAATGAAGACATAATAATTTGAGGCAGATATTTTAAAAAGAGCTTTACATTGGATATTTAACATGAAGTTCTTCTACTACTAATACTGTACTGGCTTCTCGGTGAGACTTGCGGACTTCTCATTTAATGGGTCACACATTAGGTCAAGTATTTTTCTTGCGAAAGAATTTGACATAATGCTATTAATTCCTCAAAGTTGGTCAGTTTTAGTGCTGCTGGTCCAGTTTTCTTCGCTTCGCTGCGCTTAAAGGGTTGTGTTTGGCTGGTCTGCCAGAAATCTCGTCTCTGCAGTCTGCTGATGTCGGCTTTGGGCTGCTGCCACTCAAACCACTGCTAGTGACCCTTTCACTACTCCCAATCTGTGAGGGTAGGGCTGCGTTTCTGTTGCTGGCGAGCGGGCGTTCAACCTTCAGTCAAAGAGATCTCCCATAGCAGTCTAAACAGACAAATAATGCAAATGAAATGAAACACACCAAACACCAACATATTTATACAGGAAAAAAAGGGGAAACAAACCTGTTTTTTTTTCAAACTTATATGGCCCTCTAACAAAGCAGTCCATGTTCATTCATGAAACCATAATTCATTCAGGCTGGTGTTGCATTGTTTCGTGAACATTCACATAAACTAACATAAACCTAGAATCGAGACACATACAAAGTTAGTTTAATTCTTCTCACATAGCCTCTCCTCTCTTCTACAAAATAGACTAGCGTCAAAATGCAAAGGCGTCGTAGCGCCGTTTACATAAGAGCATTACTTAATTTAACTTACCATGTAAAATTAACAGGGCTGTCCATACAAATCTCACAGGCAGCTGTCAGCACTCCGGTTCGTTTCGTACGTTTCGAGATGTCACTAGTGAAAGACAAAAATATCTTTCTTTCGACTCTTGACTTACGAATTCTGCTTCTGCTTAGGCCGCTGAACTGGCCGGTTTTTTGGCCCGCCCTTCTATTCAAAAAATAGGGGGAGGGCCTATGCATTTGTTTGTCTCAGCGTTTTCCATACTCGGTAATCCCAAACCAAAGCTAGTCTTCTACGTGGCACACCATCCGAACTGCAATACCAATATGCCAGCCGCGCTCCGCCACTGTTGCAGTTTGCAGTGGTCGTAGTGGCCGGAGCAGAAGTGAAGTGGCCGCTGCCCGGGATGGCAGGAAATGAAATGGTGGGCGGGGCCGCGGCGGTGTACGAGGCCATGCAGACAGTGCTGGGTAGCTTTAAGTGTGATGTGTGGTAAATTTTCAACAGATTTTGTTAGCTATGTGGTTCAACTCTCTATGCACACAAGGAAAACCATACATAATGTACTCATTTGAAAGATCAAAGCCTCATCCTTATGACGTGAATGAAGTATTTTTCATTCCACAATGAAAGTTTTTGAGCAATTGCAAATTGAAAATGTTTATCAAAACTGGTTGGTGTCTTGTAATGAGAGGTTATAACACTTCGTTTTTTCGTGATTCATATCGAATTTGAATGTGCCATAGCAAAAATCCACCTCCCTGTGCTTTGTTTAACATGTTTCATTTGAGGATTATCTCTCTTGGCAAACAAACATTTAAAATATCTGCAGTTTTTCAACCTTCCTTTGGACGGCCTGCCGCAGAAAAAAAATTGAAACGTCAGCTCATTCAATAAACTTTCAACACAAACTCATACATAGATTTCGACTGAACCACATCTATTGTAAAGAACGAGTCCTCCACTTTAATATCAAATACTTTTGATATTCTAAATATCCCATTAATGTTGTTCCTTGGCTTCTTGTTCGTGTCTTCTTGCAGGTTAATAATAAGTTAAATTTTTGAAATTTGCTTCTAGACGTTTTTAGTAGTGGTTTGTAATCTATTCATCTGCAGTCTAATATTTACATTCTTGTCTTACAGCTCTAAATTACAGATAAGTGTCGTGACAGCGACTTGCAAACATTCTGTCTGTCAAAACTGCAGACCTGGGAAAGAAAAGAATTCTCTTTGCCCTTTGTGCAATGATTGCATCTCTTCTGATGAGAAAACACAAGGTATGCATGTTATTAATTCTAGTGCACAGGCGGGTATGGGCTGTGACAATGGTGAGTTTTTTACTCGTTCTTTACACACCACTCACTAACATACAAAACTCTATGTGAAGAGAACGAGTATTGTGTTCAAAAATGAGTTTTGGGGGGACATCTTTCATCTCAGATCTCACAGCATGTGGGAAAATGAGAGTGGTATCAAATGAAAGATGGAGTGTCAGTCGCTAGATCGTAAATGAACTTTTTTGTTGCTTGCAATGAGAAAAACTGAGAAAATGAACATGAAATAGAGACGTTTTTAGTGCATTATGTGAAACTAACCTCTTTTCAAGTGTTTGCATCTTTTGATATAGAACGCCACTGGAACGCAAACAACAACGACAACGACCAGAGATCTTTGGCCAACAAAAAACTAGGAGGGTATTTTCCAAGTGACAATGGATAATTTTGAGAAATTTGGTCATAAAGAAACATCGTTTCACGCTAATCGTGCTATATGTCTCAGAACTGCTAGCGGTTTCTTCCTAATGAAAATTTCTTGGCAGGTGTTGCATACAAATTACATATGAAGTTAAAAAAAAACTAAAACTAGCACAGCATAGGGAGAACTATAAGAGCTGCATAATATTCAGGTCAAATATTCAAGTCAATTTGATCCAGTTTCTTTGAATTCAATAAATTCCTTATAAGAGTAGAACTCATTATCTAATAGCCATCTTTTTGTTTTTTTTAGGAATTTATCATTATCTTGAATTTCTTTTAGATACCTCGGAAGCGCATTATATGCTTGAGCAGCATGGTCAGTGACTGCCGTATTACTAGTATGTTCCCTTGCCAGGTTATTTTTATTTCTTGTTGAATATCCATGACTGTCGCCAACTAATTTACAGTTTCCAAATCTAGCATGTTTGAAACATTGATATAGGTGAATAGAGTGAAACGTTAAAATATTAAGTTGTTTGAACAGTCCTCTGCAGGATTTTCTTCTACCCGCATACCCATAGATTATAATTTTTATAGCCTTTTTTTGTTTTTTGAAGATAGAATTAGTAATCCCAGTGGCACATGTAGGGTTTCCCCAGATAAGAGCCCCATACATTAAGTGAGAATGAAAATTAGCATTGTACACAAGTAGTACTTCAGATCTATTAAGAGTTTGCTTGGCCTGGGTAATACAGTAGAGACCCTTATTTAATTTACTTATGCACTTCTCAATATGGGTACGCCATTTAAGGGTATTAGTTAATGTAAGCCCTAGAAAGATTACCTCTTTGACTATTTTGATCTCACCGCCATCAACGTCTATCTTTTCAATATCATCACTATTATTGAAGATCATTGCATATGTTTTTGACCAATTTATAGCAAGGTTCAGAGAAGTAAAAAGTTTGGCTACCTTATTTACAATGGATTTTGCAGTTTCAAGAATTTCATTAAGGCTATCACCTTTAATAATTATATTTGTGTCATCGACATATAAGACCGCTTTTCCTCCCAAGTTTCTTATGAAAACCTCAAGACAGTTTATATAAATCAGAAAAAGAAAGGGACCAATCACAGTGCCCTGCGGTACATTATATTTAACTGTTTTCCAATCAGATTTTACTCTCTTTACTTTTGAGTCTATATCAAAGTGTTGGACCTCAACGCATTGTTTCCTATCAATGAGAAAGCTCTTCATAATTTCATATGCATTTCCTCTCAGGCCATTCCTGTAGAGTATCTCCAATAATAAGTCATGTCTGACACAATCAAAGGCTTTGCTTAGGTCCAGGAAAATTGCTATAGTTACTTCTTTATCTGATTTTGCCTTAGATATAATATCCACTGCATAAGTAACAGCATCAATTGTAGATTTTCCTTTTTTATAGCCAAATTGATATTCATTTATTAAGTTATTTGTTCTGAGGAAGGGTTCAATCCTATCCAGAAGTATTTTTTCAAATACTTTTGAAAAAGAAGATGTGATTGTTAGAGGCCTATAGTTACCTGGTTTATCAGTAGCACCACTTTTATGTATAGTTTTGACAATACAGTCTTTAGTTTTAGAAGGGAATTTCCCAGTTCTCATAGCTATGTTGCTAATATGTACAAGTGGAGCCAAGATATTTCCTATGCAGTTTTTAATAATTATGTTAGATACCTCATCATTACCAGCAGAACTTGAGTTTTTCAGACTTGTAACTATTTTTTCGACTTCCTGGTCACTAGTTGGTTTCAGAAAGATTGACTTATGGAAATTACCAATACTATCAAGATCAAACTGTTCTTTATCAAGACTGTTACATATTTCAATAGGTACATTTAAATAGTGATCATTAAAGGCATTAGCAACACTCTTAGGGTCATCTATCTTTTGATCATTAATGTTCAGTGTGACATTTATATTCTTGTAACCTTTATCAGTTTTTTTCAATTCATTTATTATTTTCCAAGTCTCCTTGGTTACATTGTTAGAATTGTTTATTCTTTGGCTATTTGATTGTTTAGCATCTTTATTGACCTGCTTTCTGTATTTTTTTTTCACCTCCTTCCGTATTTCATTTAGAGCAGAGGTATCCCCAATATTATTTTTGATTGCAAGATTAATAGTATCCAAAGTATTTTTATATTCATAGGTCTCTTTAGATACAAATTTAGGTTTTTCATTAAATTTTTTTACTTCTTTGGAGATTTTTGGGCAGAGCCTGTTAAAATGATATTCAAAAATACTTATAAACTCATTATAGGCAATATCAGTATCCCCACTCTGAAAGACAGTTTCCCATGTTTCCTTTGATAATTCCACATTTAGAAGCTCTATAGTACTATCGTTAATTTTTCTTGTTTCAATTTGGACTTTCTTTTGATTCTTTTCATTTGCATATTGAAATTTTAGAATCTGTACGTTAAGATTACTTATCACTCTTGTCAGTTAACAAGAATTTCTTTATATTCCTCTGATTTCCTTATATTGTCATTTTTGTTTCATCTATTTTTTGCACTGCAATGTGTCTACATTGCCAGATACTTGTACATGACCCTCTGCCTGCATTGTTCAACCAGACAGTCGTCAGATAATAACAAATATGTTGGGCACAGATTTCATTTATTGAGACATTTTTTCAATCCTTACTGTGGGTGAGCTCTCAATGATGTGTTTGGGTTGTTTCAGCTTGTGCCACCATGGAGCGGTCCTCCCAACCTGTTTTGAGAATCAAGGGACCCCGAGTTCTAGCCGACACAGTAAAGAAATCAGACAAGAGTTTGAATTCTTCCTCGCGCAGAAGCTTTGCAAAGAAATCTTCTAGTCATTGTAAGCATGTAACTACAATTGAGGATTAAGAATGTTCACTGCCAACAACTGATAACTCTTTTTGCCCTTCTTATCGTAATTTCAGATATTCAAGATCTTCGAACCACTAATGCAAAGTTAGCACATTTCCTTGCTGCCGAAAAATCAAAATATTGTGCCCTTGCTAGGAAATATAGAGAAAATAATAAGGTTCATGCTCATCAACAGGTATAAAATAATTTATTTGTCAACTACAAGGTAGGTTTACGCCAGACCGCGTCTTGTCGTAACAGGCTTCGCGATGTCTCGCGGCCTGTTCCTCCAATCCGCGCCTGGCGTACCTACCTTGGCCTGCGGCGCTAGCCTGCCTTCGGCAGGCATTGGCTTGTCCATCGTCGGTTACTTCTTACGTGTTGCATGCTGGGGGGCTCCGCCCCCCAGACCCCCCTTAATTCTGGATAGAGTTGCTTCATCTACAGATAACACGATCTTGACCCTTGTCACTTTTTTACTTGTCGAAGCTGGGGGGCTCCGCCCCCCAGACCCCCCTCTCTTCAAGACAGAGGTGATCTACCTGCAGAAAACTCCATTTTTCGCCGTTTTTTAGGTGTTTTTCGGCTATAAAAACTGAACCAGTTGAGCTAGGATGGTGAAATTTCGCGTGTGCCGAGCCAAGAACATACCTAATAAGCCTGCAAAATCTCAGCCAGATCGGCCGAGCCGTTCAGGAGGAGTAGTGTACACACACAGACACACAGACAGACAGACAGCCAAAACTTTTCAACCGCACCGGAGTAACAGGCTTCGCTATCGCTCAGCCAACCATTTTTCACTTTTTCCTTTTAAGATTTTTTGATAGATTTGCCAATCCTATTCTTTCATGGTATTTTCTCCACAGGCTGAATTTAGAACCCTTTCTAGGGGTATTAAATCTGGAATCAAATTTTTGATGAATTCAGTTGAATCAATGTTTGAAGGAATTCAGATTCTTTCAGAAGTGAATGACAAAATTAACAGATTATGGCCTGAATCAGCAGATACAGTTACACCTCAAACGTCAGTTGCAGACGTAAATGCTCTGTGTACGTCAAGTAGTTCAACAGCACCCACAGTTGGTGACAATCGGTCTGTCGCATCACAAACTGTTCCCCCTCCAAAGACAAGTGAGTTGTTTTGTCATTATAGTCCCCTCAGTGATTGTCTTTTCTTTCAACATCTGTTGTCTTTCTGTATGTTTGACTTCAGATGTGTCATCACCAAGGCACGGTACTGTTATGCCAATGGTGAAGGGTCAAGTCATATCTAAGCCAACTATTTCCCTACGAAGAGTTAATGTGCCCCTTGGATTATCAAATAGAAACAGGGTCCAGCTGCCACATACTAGAGGTATATACAAAGCTTTTGATCTCACTGATCACTTTAATAATTTTTGAGCTAATAATTGTCATTAATCTGCAGGCACCTTTGTTGATAACATTGTTGAGCCAAATCGATTGAGCATTGTTTCTGAGGAGGCAAGTGTAATTTACAAATGTTATTGCTTAATTTGTTTTAATAGTTCGGAAGTTAAATTTCTTTTGGATTTCAGGTAAATGAATCAAGGCAAGAGCCTGCGAACAGCAACCATATGCCCTCGACTTCTTCACATGGCTCTACAGGCGTTGCCTTTGGAAGGTTGGGATACTCCGCTGCACATGATGATACCTTACCTCTATCGCATCTCAAGAAGGTTTGTTTCAAGAGTCCACCTAAAGGAAAGCAGAACACAACGCCTCCTCTTGATGCATCTAGAAGCAGTACTGATTCTAATGAGTATGAAACTGAATCCAGTTCTGAGGATGAAGGGCTGGCATTGCAGATTGTTGAGTCCAAGAAGTCGTTCATAGAGCGAAAACGACAATTAGATTCCAAAGAGGGTACTTCCTGGAATTATGATGATGCTGGAAAATATCTTGGACAGCCACCAAAAAGAAAGAAGTCTGCAAAAAATTCAGGATGTAGTGAAACTTCATCATCTTTGGTACAGCCCAAAGGTATTCAGCACCACGAAGATAATGTACCTACTTTAAGAGATCGAAGAGCTAAGACTTCCTTAGAGAAAGTTATTAGTCCTAAGTTACAAAAGAAAAATAATTTGTGTAACAGTCAGTCGACTCTCTCAGAAAATGGAGAGGCTTTCCAATCTCCCGCGAATGATGTGATGGACACAACAAATTGTGAAGAAATGTCTATGTCTTTTACATGTGTCACTGTAACGAGATTACCTATTGTCTTGTCTACTAATCAAGCTGAGACCAGTCCAGAAAGTGCTCAACAATCACCCCAATTATCTGAGCAGCAACAACACTCTGGTTTGAGTGGTGAGTTTAAGAGGTCCTCACCATCAGAAGAAGAAAGCAGCCTTTCACAGAACATGAAAAGTGAGTGAAAAGTTGTGTGCAGCTTAATTGTAAAGAGAGAAAGAGATTTAGCTTTGCATAAATGGTGATGTTAATAACTCTGATTCTTTACAGGAATGGGGGAACAATCATCAAATGCAACAAAGGCAAAGATGAGAAGTGCTAAGTCTCAAAAGTAAGCACGCTTTATTTTTTTCCCTTTGTTTCTCATTCCAGCTCTCAAAATGTGTGTTATGGATTATGATGATTTCTGATCTGTACTTTCTGTTAACTGCACAGAAGTTTGGAAGGGGCAAGTTCAAGTTCAAACCCATCGTCCTCCTCTGACCCAATCTTCCCTCATGAAAGAGGTCCTGAAGAGGGTAAGCATATCATTGATTATCAATAAGTTATTAAATCAAAATTTTGTGTAGTGCTCCAACTAGTTTTGGAATACATCACAATGGTATTCCAATTATCTTTCTAGGAAACCAACCAGAAATGGAGGCACAATCATCAAATGCATCAAAGCCAAAAAAAAGAAGTGCGAAACCTCAAAAGTAAGTTGGCTCTGTTTGTCTCTCTTGTCACATTTTCTCTTTCTCAATCTTTTCTTGAATATTATTAGGAGTTCCCTCCACCCCCTTGTAAAATAAGTTATGCTTATTGTCTCGTAATGCAGAAAAGGTAACAGGTCCTTTAAGTTTTGTCCATATTTTTTGTTTATAATGGTTTTAATTGCACAGGACCTCAGAAGGATCACATGCTAGTGCAAATTCATCGTCCGCCACTTCTGATGGCTCAGAACATGGTAAGTATATTATTTTTAATAATATGTTTTATTATTGTATAATGTATTATTGTTGTCTCTTTTGTTTTTCTTGTATTCAATTTTCTTTCAATTTAATAATGTGGGAACCCTTGTTGAAGTTTAGGATTCCCAAATGTATCTTTGGGTGAATTTGTTGCTAGGTGCAATATTGTTTCCGAAACTAGAATCACTTTCTTAAAGCTAAATTTATTCTCTGCATTGTTGAAGTTCTGAAATCTAGAATCTGTGGAAAGCAAAACAGGGTAGATGTTACAAAAGATTTTTATTTGGTCAAATTTAACTTTCTGATTTGTAAAGTCTCAGTTGCTCTTGAAGTTCATCCATGGATCTTATTTGGAATTTATCCTCTTTTTCTTTCAATAGTTTATAAATAGCTGCGAGCTGCGAGGCTTGCATCCTGAAAATTTATGAAAGAAAGATCAATGAATCAGAATATGTCGTAACATTATGTCAGTATCAAACCTTGATGGCCAAATTTAACTTACTCTCTCTCATTTAATAACTGTTGTTCGGACAAGCCTGCCGTCAACTGTTTCTCAATTTCTGCTTGTCTAATGGTCTTAATGGTGAGAAGTCCACAAATGACCAAAAATACATCTTTTGACAATCAAGGAGAAAGCCCTGTTCACGTTTCAACTATTCCCATGGCAAGGGGAAGATTGGGTGCCCAATCAGATGTTGATATGGATGCCGAAACATTGCTGTTAACCCCACCCTTGAAACCACCTGTTCAAGAAAGTAGAGCCATTAACCCTTTATCTCTTCTCGTTGAGGCTATAGCTATTTTAGAAACAAAAATTATTGAATGTACCTACCCTCAGAATGATGTTCAATTTCAAACCTCAGATGCATTCATAGCCGGGCGAGATGTAGCTGTTAATCTTGAGAAGACCTGTGGAACAGTGCATCAAGACAGGAAACAATCTCAAGATTCCAAACTCAGTTGTGGCCCACTAGATGTCATAGGAAGAAGTCCTAAGAAGACAGTACTTTTAGAAGCTGCTTCAAATGATATTCCTCAAGTGGATCTTGATGATGATTCAAGCTCCAGTGTCGGCCCAGACATAAGTTCTAAACGCCCCCGGCCATTGGGCAGCTTTAGTGACTCGTCATACTCAGATGTTGTTGTGTCTAAAAAACAGAAACAGAAGAAAAAGAAAATTCAGGTGCTATCTGACAACGAGAATAGTTGTAGCACTCATAATGATGATGCTGATACTAGCATTGTAGACACGTCTAAAATAATGCCAAATATTGAAGCCCGGCTTGCAGAAGAGGAAAGGATGCAATCGGCAGGGTGGTTAAATGAAATGGTGAACACAGAACCAGTGAGTGAAACATTTGAAGACTCCTGGGATGTTTTGTCCAACACATCAAAAAACCAAGTAAGATTTAATTTGTTCTCTGCAATTTTCATTCTTAATTTTAATAAATTTTCTAAAGGAGTCTCTAAAACTTTGTTTTTTAGACTGACAGTGATGGTGATTCTGAAGTCATAAACCCCACTCCTCAGAAGCAATTTTCATTTACTTTGAGGTGAGTAGGAAATACTGAAAACAACTTCCTCAAAAACATTAATTGAAAGAGAGATTTTAGAAATAAGTTGCATTTATTTCAGGCAAACAACTCAATCAGATGATATTGTCCCAAGTTCGCAGCCTCCAATTCCCACAATTCCCAGCCATAGACTTGTACCCCCTTTACTTGGAGACAACCACAAAGACTCAATAGGAAGCAAACCTAACGACTTGCCTCAAGAAGACCTGCTTGAGTCACTGGGTAACCAGAGAAATACTTGTGAGGATGTTCAAATAGTGGAAAACCGTGAGTCTTCCCAAGCACCAGTGACTGAAGATGCCTCTGAGACAAACCTTTTCTCTGATCCCGTAGAAGTTACAGAGACCAGAAACGGAGAGCATGCAGAAGATGCACTTAAAACCACTAAGCTTCAATTTGTCTGTAGCAGTCTTCCTAAGAATTTAGTTGCACAGGTATTAATTTTAAAACCACCTTAAAAAAACGTAGTGTTTTTTTTTACATTTGTTTCTTTATTTTACTGGTAAGTGCCTTTTTTTCTCCAGGTCAAAAAGCTTGCAAATATTGTTAAAGCTGAATTTTCTTCCAAATTCACGTCTGATACATCTCATCTCATTGTTGGAGTGGATGAAAATAATAGGGCTGACAAAACCTTGAAATACCTTTGTGCTGTTGCTGCTGGAAAATGGGTTGTCTCCCCTGCATGGGTGGAGAAATGCTTAGAAGCCAAGAAACTTTTACCAGAGGTATTGGAATCCTTATTGGTTGCATTAATTAATTGAAAGATTCAGTCTCTGTTACCTGCAACTCAGTAATTATTAATAATAATCAATCTTTTTCCAGGAACCTTTTGAAGCTCTAGATACCACAGGTGAGCCAGGCCCTCAACTTTCGCGAGAGTCTCGCCTCTCCAAGAAGAATCTGTTCAGTGGCTTTGAGTTCTGTTGCATTGGTGAATTTCCAAATATATCAAGAGCTCAAATGCAGGTAAAGATACTCTAATTTTAGATCTGTGTGTTCTGTTTATGACAGCCACATTTCTGTTCTAATTCTATTTTAAATATTCTATTTGACTTCCCCTTTTCTTTTTTGTAGGCTTTATTAATTGATTGTGGCGCCTCCATCGTAAGCAAGCCAAGCAGCTTCTCTTTTGAGGAACGTGTTATACCAGTAGCACTCGCTCAATGGGACGAATCCAAAGAAGCAGAATATAAAAGTAATAAAGTTTACTTATTTTTTTACATTTACTCTAGGTTAGTCATCTAGATGATTAATTGTATCTTCATTTTTTGCCGCAGCCTGGCCGGGAGACTGCCGCGCTCCTCTTGTTCATTATGAGTGGGTTTTGGACTGCATTGGAAAATTTTCTGTAACATCTTTCTCAGCGATGCTGCTAAGTGATGTCTCTGAAGACTACTATGTGTCCATGGGTATTCCATCGTTTCCTGTTTGAGTTAACTGAATCCCAGCAGCGATCTACTACAGCAAATAATTTGGAGTCTGCAACAAATCTGTAATTTTATTTTATTATAGGTTTCTAGCCTTGTTTGATTTTCTGTTGTAATTCATTTCTACCTTGGGAGAGATGTTTTCTTGTCATAAGGTAAAATCCTTTTTATCTTTAATTTAATAAATTGTATTGTGTTGTATTGTATTGTATTGTTTATTTTCAGCATAAGTAGTTATATACACAATTTGTACACATCGCTGATGTCACAGTAGTGAAATTAGGCTCCTTTCGCCTCATTAAAAGAAACATATAGATTAAAGACAATACATAAATAGTATCACAGTTGACTTATCTACTACCTTCAATAAATTCATCTACAGAATAGAATTCCATGTCCATTAGCCATTGCTTCACTTTTTTTAAGAATCTTTTGTTATCACTAATATCCTTGAATACTGATGGTAATTTATTATACATTTGGGCCGAATGATCAAAGACTGATTTATTGCTGCTGTGTTCTCTGAACACACTTTTCCCATTCCTAGTATTATATTGGTGCTTTTCACCAACAGTCAAAGAATTGCAAAGTCTAATATGTTTTACACATTGGTACAGATGTATTGAGGGAAAAGTAAGTATTTTGAGTTTTCTAAAGAGGCCCCTACATGTTTTCCTGTTGAGAGATGGACCATAGATGAGAAGTCTAACAGCTTTTTTTTGCTTTCTAAAAGTGGATTTAGTCACAATACTAGCACAGCTGGGATTTCCCCATATTAGGGCACGGTAGGTCAGATGGGAGTGGACATTAGCATAATAGACATAAAGTGCTTCTGATCGATGTAGCATCTGAATTGCCTGGGATAAGGTATAGATCCCTCTATTAAGTTTAGTTAGGCAGCTTTCAATGTGCGTTTTCCACTTGAGATCATTTGTTAGGGTCAGCCCAAGGAAATTTACTTTTTTGACAATTTTGATGGTCCCACTCTGGGTGCAAATTTTATCAAGGGTTTGAGCTGTATTAAAGATCATCGCAAAGGTTTTATCCCAATTTAGTGCCAAATTGAGTGAAGTAAATAGATCAGCAATTTTATCGATTATTTTTTCAGCAACTTCCCTTGCTTGGTCGAGGGTGGGTGCTTTAATGATGATGTTAGTATCATCAACATACAAGACAGATTTTCCCCCTAGTTGTCTGATAGTCTCTTCAATGCTATTAACATATATTAGAAACATAAAAGGACCAATTACGGTTCCTTGTGGCACATTGAACTTAACTGTTTTCATATTAGATCTTATTTTGTTAATAGTACCTTCGCTATTGAGGTGTTGTACTTCAACACATTGAACTCTTTCTTGTAAGAAACTTTTCATAAGTTCATGGGCGTTACCCCTTAGTCCACTCTTATACATTATATCGAGTAATATGTCGTGCTTGACACAGTCAAACGCCTTGCTAAGGTCTAAGAAAATAGCAATGACAGTTTCTTTGTCACATTTAGCAGTAGCTATGGTGTCTACTGCATATGTAACTGCATCTATTGTTGACTTCCCTTTTTTACATCCAAATTGAAAGTCACTTATTAGATTGTTATTTCTAAAAAAGGGTTCTACCCTATCAAGGAGGATTCTTTCGAATACCTTCGAGAATGAGGACGTTATGGTCAACGGCCTGTAATTATCAGGTCTTTGTTTCGATTTGTTTTTATGTACTGGCTTTACTAGGCCTTCCTTGATTTTCTCAGGATAGGTACCTGTACTCATAATTAAATTTCCTATATGTACAAGGGGTTTTGCCAGATTGTCAATGCACTTTTTGATTATAATATTGGATACACCATCTGTACCAGTTGATTTTGAGTTCTTTAGTCCTCGTACAATTTTTCTTATCTCAAGTCCATTTGTTGGCTTAAGATAGATTGATTTGATAATACTCCTTATACTATTCAGATAACACCATAACACCATAAATCTAAGAAGAGTCAATTTTCAATTAAAATATTGACGGCCAGGCTTTGGCTCAATTGAAGTACAGTGAAGTAAATTATTCATTACTTGAGGTCATTTTCTTAGTAACTGAACCCTTGACCTAATATTGCACCATATTCTATGGTTTGAGCATAGTATGTATCTCTGGATGGACAAATCATCCCTTCTATCAATGAAGACATTTGCATTGTGGATTGTGAGCTTTAATGAAAACTTGATTCAGTCAGCATGCTAATAAAATTTTTGTGGCAGCTTTAATTATCTTTATTCTTTTTCTTCACCTCATACCCTACAATTAAAACTAATGAAAGATAGAGAGAGAGAGCGATTGCACTCATAGCCCTGAGGCCTTGTCCACAGCAGTTAAAACTCTATTCACAATGAGCTAGATAACTTGCTGGCAATGGTGTAGCCAGCAGACTCTAGTCTTGATCCTTCTTGATCACTTCCTTCGCAATCTTGCCACTTCAACCTGGAGTGCGCACAGAAGCACCAATTAGAAGCTGTCCCACAGTACAACGGGAAGTGAAATGATTGCGACTCACTGGCTCGCGGTGCGGTACTGGTGGTAAGCGTTTCTCCACTTGCGACTGGCCGCCAGTAGAGTGTCGCTGTCTGGCTGCCTGGTGCCTGCCCTCTCTGGAGGCGGCGGAGGGGGCGTGGGGCTGCAGCCATGCATTGTGACGAGGGTGGTGCTGTCCTTGGCCAAGGTGAAGCGGGCGGCAAGGGCGAGGCGCGGACGGCGCAGGTGTCCGCCGTGCCCCGCACCAAGCTCAAGGTGTCCGGCGGCACGCAGACCTGCACCAGCGACTACAAGTCGTACTCGCTGACGGGCCCCGCCGCCAGCCAGCTGTCGCAGAGCGTGCGCGACCGCCTGATGCAGGGGTCGCACTCGCTGCCCAGGAACGCGTCGGGCGCCAGCGCTAGCGACCCTCCTGTAAGAGATGCGCAAGCCGAGCCCGAATCCGACCTCCTGGTTCGTTTGGTGGTCCCTGCGCCGCGGGGAGCGAAAAAACGCTAGCCAGCGCGGCCCACGAGTACACGCTGCCGCACCGGCCCTACCGGCCCAGCGACGGCTCGCTGTCCGACTCCAACTACACGGACGCGCACTACAACAACAGCCCCTACGGCTCGTGGCTGCGGCACAGCGCGCACGGCGGCAGCACCTCGTCCACGGCCTACACCGCCTCGCTGCCCACGCGCTGCAACAAGTACGAAGGTGAGTCTGCAGCCCCAGGGACTGGTTCACGTTGAACGTCGCAGTGTTGTGCACGGTGCCTGACGTTGTTTCTCCGCAGCGGGCATGTCCGAGGCGGACAGCATGGAGTCGCTGAGCTCGCTGCCCGCGCTGCAGTAGCACCGCGCGGCTGCAGTCGGCGCGCCTCAACCGCAGCAACAGCTGCCGAGAAGATGTACCAGGACATGCTGAGCTCCACGGGGCTGGGCGGGCTGGGCTAGAGCGCCAGCATGAGCGGCTTGCCGGGGCTGCAGGGCATGTCGGGGCTGCAGCCCATGCCGCAGCCCACCAGCCCCACCGCGGGCCAGCTCGCGCAGGGCGCGTCCAGGTACGGCCTGCTCTCGGTGGCCTTGGTCTCGATGATGCGCTCCGCGCGGGCTGCTCTAATCACTTCTTTCCTGGCGGCAGGTTAGGTTAGGTAGTAGGGACCCTCTCTGTCAGAGATGCGCACGCAGGCCGCGAATCCGGCCTTCTGATTGGGCGAGAGTAAACTGGGGAAAAACCGCCCGGTGCGAGGCCAGAGTGGAGGTGGAAGGGGGACGCTCTAGTGTGGCGCAGTCAACGCAGTCAACACGCCGCGCCCGTGCCGTGCCGTGCCGTGCCGAGTCGTGCCGTGCAGTGCCGCCACTAGAGCGGCCCGCAGCACGCGCTACTCGCGCTACACGCGCCGCGCCGGTACAATGAGCGCTTGGTGCGGCCTGGCTGGCGCCTGGCTGCTTGCGGTTTGGCCGGCTGCCTTCGGGCGGGCCCGGGCGTCTGTTTGCTATTCGGGTCGCGGGGCATATGCAGCGCCGCGTTTTTTTATGGCGTGTTCCTGACGCGCCGCCGACAGCTGTGGCGCGACACGGCGGGCACGGCCTCCAAGGTCGCGCCGCGGTCCTTGTCGGATTGACGGGCTCCGGGATGAGGGACTTGAGGGACTGGCTGAGGCGGCTGAGGTCACTGCCTTGATCCTCTCCGTCAATGGGGCCCGGCGATTCCCCCCCCCCTTTTCCCCCGGCCAGAGCCCCCGCCACGGCCCGGCTAGGCCACCCGCGCAGGGCGCCGCCTCGGCGGGCTGCCTACCTCGCCGATGGCAGGGGTTCGCCGCAGAGCCGCGGCCTCCGAGCGTGAGGCCGCGGCTGTCCGTCTCAGCCGGTGGCAGCCGGTGGCAGCCAGTGGCCGGCCGAGCGCCATTCCTGGAACACAATGAGGCGGCCGATGCAGGCCGTGCAGGCCGTGCAGGCCGTGCAGGCCGTGCAGGCCGTGCAGGCCGTGCAGGCCGTGCAGAACATGCAGGCCAGGGCTGCGGCGCGCGCCTCGGCCACTCCGCACGCGCCGAGTCGATGCAGCACAAGCAAGCCAGCACTGCCGCCGAGATAGAGACGGATAGAAAGAGATTTTAAAAGAAAAACCTTCCACTTCCGCTGTCTGTCTGTCCGTCTGTCCAGCCGGCTCATCCGGCCCTCCTCCGCAGTGGACTCATTCAGCTCGTTGCCCGGGGCCAGGCCTAATCACTCTCCGATTTTCGATTCTCGCCCTGACCGCCTCATTTTGTTTAAGGACTGTTCACCGGACGGCGGTCTCAGGCTGAACACGAGCGGTAAATGAAGCGCATCACACATGCATGATGGTTTGCCCGAAAACAAAACAGCGGCGGGCACCTCAGAGCGCCTGTGAGGTGGGCCAACAAAACAGGATTGGCGATCTTGTCGACGACAAACTGGCGGTACACACGAAGACACGTGCACCCTCCTTCGTCGACAACCGGCCGGCAACTAAAACAGTGCAGCAGTGGCAGGCAAGTGGCAGGGCAGCGCCGAGCCGAGCGCCGCTTGATGTCAGGGAGGGGGTGGGAGCGGCGGCGAAGAGAGCGGGGCACCACTTCACCCCCTCACCCGCGTCGCGGCCGCTTCGGGCCGGAGCCGAAAGGATCCCGAAGGTGTGGACCGGACGGGCTGCCTACCTTCACGGCGCACTCCTCACCGCTCGCCCCAGCCGC